CTCCTTAGACAAGTGCTATATTGGACTAGGCTAAAGAATTTAAAGAGGCAAATACAAAAGAAGTATGATTCATACATATATGATAAGACTCTCTACCCTTACTGGTAATCAAAGAAATGCAAATTAAAATGCTATAACATTGTGGGCCAGCCGAGTGGCGCGTTGGTTAAGAACTGGCTTGGGATGCCAGAGGGCCCCGGTTTGGATCCCACATATGAGGGCCAGTGACACTGCCCTCTACAGCTAAGATGCTGAACAACAGCTCAACTTGGAGCTGGGCTGCTGTGAGTCGCCGGCGACGGCGTAGGCTGCAACCCCTGTGGCAGTGGGTTGCCATGGGCTACCGTATGTAGCCAGCAGCCAGCGTGAGCAGCCAGCAGCCGCAGTGAGCCAGAAGCCAGCGACTGATCTGCCTCGCCCGGGAAGAGCGCAATGATGGTGCCAACTTGGGCCAGTGAAGCAACATCCTCCACAACTAGACTGAAGAACAAAAGGATAGCAATTTGTCTGTTCCCCTTCCCCCAATTCCCCAATAAAAATCTTAAAAAAAAATAAATAATGCAATAACATTGTCTTTTATGTTAGTCAAAGTTGACACAGTTAATAGTGTTTAATGAAAAAGATGAACTAGATAGTGATATTATAAATTGTTGTAAGACTTCTAGAGGGTTAATTATATGTATCATTAACTTTAAAACCTTTTTTATTAATAAACACATTTGAATATAATAATCAGAGATGTTTAAGAAGATATTTGAATAAAATTATACATTGTTTATTACTGTTATTAAAATTTGGGCTTAGTCTACATATCCATGATGTAGGATTATTTCCAAATAAGGCCACAATAAATTACTTGCAATGCATGTACAACACAAAATAATAAGCAGCCATTAAAATCATGCTTTAGAGATTGAGTGACACAAGGAAATGATTAGGACAGATAATGTGAAAAGAACAAGTTAAAAATTTTAATTCTTGCATATTGTTTTCAAGGTTTTTTTTAATATCATAAAATTAAATTTCTAAGTTAATTCAGTTGTGTTCATCTGAGATCCAAGGGGTCGGGGAAGCAATACATGCAATCTTGCTCTGTTTTTAAAAAGTATATTACACATTTCATAGGGAAAGATTTTTGGGGAATTCATCTAAGCATAACAGTGGTTACCTCTATGGTGTGAGATCAATGATGACTTTTATCTTCTTAACACTGATGTATTTTAAGAAAATCATCTTGTAATGAGTTGCTTCACTTAGGCGGGGTGGGGGGGAAAGATGTACTTTAAATAAAATTTGAATTCCTCCAGGTTGCTGGGTGCTGAGTGGAAGTTTGCAAAATCTTCCAGAGAAAAGAAAAGAACCTCAGCCCTCAGAGACAGAAGCCCATCTCCCCAGAGAAAGTGGGGGATGGCGTGGAGCCAGTGGACATGCGTGTTTCCCTGAGAGGAAGCCGGGTTGATGTGGGGAGGGATGCAGGGTGGGTGCTCTGTTCTGCATCAGTCCAGGCTCCAGGCTCCTTACACCTCCTGTAAGGACAAGGGAGCAGGGCAGCCCCAAGAGAAGGGAGCTTTGAGGGCTACAGGAGTGCAAATCCTCATAGCAGCCTAGCCCAGGTAGAGGAACCAGACCTTGTGAAGCGGATTCAATAGTGTTCACGCTACAAAAAATTTGTGTCCACCTGGAACCTCAGAATGCGGCCTTATTGGGAAAGAAGATATTTACAGATGTAATTAGTTAAGGATTTCAATGGTGAAATCAGCAGAGAAAAAGGAGAGGGAAAGCTAGATACAGAGGCATACCAGGAAAATGGCTATGTGAAAATGGAGGCTGAGGCTGGAATTATCCAGCCACAAGCCAAGGACTGCCTAGAGCCACCAGAAGCAGGAAGAGGAGGAAGCATTCTTCCCTAGAGCCTTCAGAGGGAGCTCAGCCCTGCTCACTCCTTGATTTCTGATTTTTGGTCTCGAGAACTGGGAGAGGATACATTTCTGTTATTTAAAGTAACCCAGTTTGGGCCGGCCGAGTGGCGTGATGGTTAAGAACTGGCTTGGGACGCCAGAGGGCCCCGGTTCGGATCCCCACATATGAGGGCCAGTGACACTGCCCTCTACAGCTAAGATGCTGAACAACAGCTCAACCTGGATCTGGGCTGCTGTGAGTCGCCAGAGATGGCGTAGGCTGCAGCCCCTGCTGCAGTGGGTTGCCATGGGCTACCGTATGTAGCCAGCAGCCAGCGTGAGCGACCAGCAGCCCCTGTGAGCGGCTGTCCAGAGCTGGCGACTGATCTGCCTCTCCCGGGAAGAGCGCAATAATGGTGCCAACTTGGGCCAGTGAAGCAACGTCCTCCACAACTAGACTGAAGAACAAAAGGACAGCAACTTGTCTGTTCCCCTTCCCCCAATTCCCCAGCACTGTTCCCATCCCCCCAATTCCCCAATAAAAATCTTTAAAAAAAAAATAAATAAATAAAAAACAAAAAGTAAAGTAACCCAGGTTGTGGTCATCTGTTATGACAGACTCAGGAAACTCATGCGCTTTGGTGAGATGATGAAATCTGGTGAAGTCCAGGAGAGGAGGGGACACTTCTGAGCCTTTAAGTGGTGATGTCTCTTATCGCTACAGTTGACAAACAGGACAGCTCTCTTCAGGACTCATGCTCTGCCTCCCTGTCTAGTGTTTGTGGAACTTGGTTTATGTTGTCTTCTTAAGTCACGAGTCTTAAATTGAGTGGTGCCTTTAGTGGTCTCATAAAGGGGGTTCCTACATCCTTCTGAACGCTTACATCTTACATGAAATTATAAGGTATTCATTAGAGACATTTAAACTAGGCACCAGTCACAGAGTGGCACTCATGGTATTTTAGCAAAAGGAACACCTTTTTTTCCTATCAATTTTATCAAAATGTTTCTGTGTGATCTTTGGGAAAAGGTAAAGGTGAAATCTCTGGGGGATTTTTGTCTTTACCAAGCTGGACTGTGAAATGTGAAAGTTGAGATCTACCAGCCTCATCTGAAGCTCTCTGACAAGGCATGCACGTTGGCAGGAGAAAAAGCCCTGCCTTCCACTGATTGTTAGAAGATAATTTCCATATAATTTTTTTTAAACTGATTTCAAAGAATGTATGTGTAGGAATGCCCACTGCTCTGTAGTTATTCTTCCCATGTCTCACAGTAAGCTCCAAAGCAAGACCTGATGTACACTTTGGCTTGATTAACAACTCAAGCAATAAGAGATTGCAGAAAATTCTGAGGTCTATATTTAGGGCTCATCACCTTTCAAAAAATATTGGTAACAAACACTGTTTATAGTATGACAGGAAACAATAGAACTTGTAACTTTGCCGCAGTGGTCTCTGATGCCCAGCAGGTCCTGCCGCTGGTAGGTTATTTATGGCTATGCTATAACCTTAACTGAAACACAGAGGAGCAGCTATGGCTGTTTTAGTTATTAGTCCTGAGCACAAAGGGTTAGGAGCTTCTCTGGCTTCATTCATTGACAATAATCTGCAGCCTACTAGGAACAATGCTGCATGCTGTGCAAATATAGCATGAGTCTTTCATAAATAATGCCAGGAACAAGGGCTGTGCCAAGGCAGATAGAAGATGTCGATGGCAAGTTAATGTGTTAAGCCCCTGGGTTTGCTTCATTGTACAGGCTGACCTACCCTAGGCAAGTGAGGGAAGGAGGTGCCTTGGCTCAAAGCAGGTTTTGGAGTCCGTCACTCTGCCTCTCTCCACCTCATCTCCCAGACTTACGATAGATCCTTCTAATAATGATGCAACCGGCTTGACGCGCACTGAATTTTATCTCATTACAATAGACAGTGATGTGCTTATTTTGGTGATGGGAATGGGATGTGGTTTCTCTTCTTGTAATTATCCTCTGCCAGTAACAGAGGCTGATTTTTAGCCTGTCCAGAGATGTCAATGTCTGCTTATTTTTAGGCTGTTTACATGCATAAGGGGTCGTAGTCCAAACCCTTTGCTCGATTTATGCAAACTAGCCTTACTCCCACCATCAGGCCACAGCCCCAAGGTGGGAAAATGAGAGTTAGGGTTACTGATGGGGACTTCCTTTCCAGAATGTGGCCACCTAGCACCTTTGAAAAATAAGAGAAGTTTCTATGAGATTACCTAAAACAAAAGTGATTTTTTCCCCCCAGAATCATATCAAATGACAATGTGGCAGGCAGAATAATGCCTCCCCTCTCCCCTCCCCTAAAAGATGTCCATGTTCCAAACACTGGAACCTGGAATATATTACCTTACATGGCAAAGGGAACTTTGGTGATTAAATTAAGGATGTTTAGATAAGATTATTCTGTATTACCCAGGTAGGCCCCATAGAACCACAGTGTCCCTGTAAGAGAAAGAGGGAAGCAGGAGAATCAGTGTCACAGTGATATAATGTGATAGGCTCAACTGGCCACTGCTGGCCTTGAAGACGGAGGGGGCCCATGAGCCAAGGCATGCAGGCAGCTTCTACAAGCTGGAAGGTCAAGGTAATTGACTCTCCCCTAAAATCCCCAGAATGAAGGTAGCCTGTCAATGCCTTGATTTTAGCCCGTAAGACTGTGTTAGACTTCTGACCACCAGAACAATAAAATAATAACTGTGCTGTTTTAAGCCACTAAGTTTGTGGTAATTTGTTACAGCAGTGATAGGAAACTAATACAGAATACATAATAAATAATTCATGCTGATACCTTTATAAGAAGGTGATCAAGTTCACTCATTCAGTTACATTGCGAAAATACTGACTGAGTGCCTACCACATACCAAATGTGGTGTTTCAGCATGGATGGTGCATGAGTGAATAATATATGATCATTCATTTGGCCTCAAAATATTTATTTATTTATTTAATTTTTTAATTTTTTTTTTCACTGAGCCATCCCACCGCCACCTGTTGGCAGTTCAGCAGCAGCTTAGCTTGGGCCAGGAATCGAACCACTGTTGCTCAGAGCTCGCACTCTTTTTTTTTTTGTGTGTGTGTGTGTGTGTGTGTGTGCTCATTTAACTGTATTTTAAGTTCTTTACAAAACAAGGCCTTAGGTACCCCCAGCTTCAAGTATGCCCCTGGGCTTGGTTCACTGCCGTCTTATATTCATGCTTGGGTATTCATCCACAAACATCAAACCCCTGGACAGAAGATGTGATGAACAGGCCCCCTCCTCTATGGCATGAGTCCTTTGCTGATTTAAGAGATGACCACAGCAGCCAATGTGGAAAACACCGGGACTTTTCCTTTGGAACTGGGCTGTGATGAGAAGTGCCTGCCAGGAATATCATCTTTTCTCTAAATCTTCATCCTCTCCAGTTTCTGAAGATACAGCAGAAAATAATCTTCTTTGAAGATACTGGATAATAATTCCCAAAAACAAACACGTGCTTCCAATGCATTGTGCTTTCAGATATTCAGGGAGGAAGAAAAACAATTTCATCAATACAAATTCCCTGTGACTTGGTACCTGGGTTTAGTTCAGCTGCCGGATGAGCTGATTGATGCGTTCACCTCGATAGCCAGGTGAGCCCACTTCCTTGAGGAAGCCCACTCTATTCTTGGTAGCGTGACGGGCAACTGAGAGATGGAAAGGGCACAAGAACCTTGAGATCGCCTGGAAATTCTTCCCCGGGAAGGCAATTTCATGAATGAGGTCTTCCAAGCAAATGACACCAAACTTCCCCAGATGTTCCTCAATCACTGTGTTGTCTGTCAAAGGGATAATTTTATTCTTGACTTTGGCTTGTCCACGTTTCAAGATGAGTTCTCGGACAGACTTCAGGTTTGGAAATCCCCAGGTCACATAAGGTTCCACTACACGCAGTGTTTTCATGGTTTTGGGGGTCACTTTGAAAAAAACACCACTGAAAATCTTCTGCAGACGAAGCCTTGCAATGGTCTTCTGCACCATTAAACTCACCCCATTAATCCTTTGGATACGTACAACAAAGGCCAAGGAATGTTCATCTGGCACTTCCAAACCATGAGGTTTCACTTCTAGTCGTGTGAGGCGTACCTTGTCACGTTTTTGCCGCCAGGCATCGTGTAGGAACCATTCCAGTCGCTTAAACCTGATCTCTTTTCCTTTCCTCTGCTCCTTCCGTTGCAAAAGTGCCTGCTTTGCCTGGGTGGCTTTGAGGGCCTGATAAGCCTTCCTCTTTTTCAGGAGATTTTCTGGAACCAAAGGGATCTTTCTTCTTTGCTCTTCCTCCGCCATCTTTCCAATGCTCCAGAGCTCGCACTCTTGATCGAGCTCTTAACCAACTGAGCCACTCGGCCGGCCCAATCCTCAAAATATTTATTTAGTGCCTTCTATTTGCCAGGCAGTGTTCCAGGGGACACACAGGGAAATAAGACAGCTAGGATCCCTGCCCTCACATAGCTCATGCTCTTGTGTAGAAGAAAGCAGATCAAAGAGCAGTAAGAAGGTCATTGTAAGTCGTGTTAAGTGCTATAGAGAAAATTAAAACAGGGTAGTTGAGAGAGATTAACTGGAGAAAAGCTCCCTTAGGTCAGCAGGAATGCCTCTCTGAGAAGGAGGAGGTGACATCTGAGTTGAGACCTGAAGGACAAGAAGGTGGCAACCTTGACAAGCTTGAGTGTGGAACAGAGGATGTTTAAGGAAAACCGGAAGGCCAAGACCTGGAGGCAGAAATGAGCTTAACAAGTGTGAATAACTGAACCAGGCGTGTGAACAGAGAGTGCTGTGAATGGAGAGATGGTGGTAGACTGAGATCACTCAGGGCTTTCCATGCCAGGATAAAGAATTGGGATTTTATTCTAGGAGAAATGGGAAGCCAGCGGGGATATTTCAGCGTTGAGTTACATGAGCTAATGAATGTTACAGTTTATTGGATGACCTTGACATAATTAAAGTGCTTTTGTAGAATTATTCAAATTTTAAACCTAAAGTAAATTTATAAGTCGTATAGCTTGATTTTCCTTTTTTCTTCTTTTTTTTTGAATTCTCTTTATTATCTACCTCTAAGGGTATTATTAATTTTTGAATTAATTAAAGGTCATATAGCTTGATTCTCTCTTCTTAATATAAAGTGGTTGCTACATTGGTTAATTCACTTTAGAACACACATCTGTCTCTTGTCTCTCGTTATATGCTTTTTACTGTGCCACCCACCACCTACACACAATTTCACTCATTTTTCTTCAGTATCAGTCCTCTCCTTTCTTCTTCCTTTTAAGCGAAAATATTCAGGAACCAAGGCCTACATTTAGATAATAAAGAAATTCTTACAACTAATGGAACTGGAATCGAGAATTGAAAAGGAGGGCTCCATGAGAAATTGACCCTCTCCTGCGCTCTGCTTTGTGATCTAATATTCATGAATGGCTTATTCTAGATCATTCATATTGTTTTATGAAATAAGTTATTTCTAGTAACAGCCTGCATAACCTTTTGATTTTTTTTTCTTTTTATTTGCCAAAGAGAGAAAAAGATAGCAACTAAAAATTGGATGGTTGGCAGTTGCTAGGCACCAATCCGACATTCAGGAAGTAGCAATGAACCACAAGAAGATTTAAAAATAAACAACCATTTTAATCTTTAACCACAATTCCAATGAAGCAGACAAGTTATCTGATTACTAGTATTCTCCAAACAGACATTTAACAAGAGAAATTAGATAATATTTTTGAACTTTCTATGTTTCGTCAGTTGTATTTACTTAATATAGTTATATTTCTTTCTAATATGTTTGTCAAGTTCATTAAAATTTACTTTTATAATTTTTAAGTTTAGTGGTTGGAGGGGTAGACAGTTATTTGAAAAACAAAGTAAAATTTACATCATTTAAATTTTAATAGGGTTGGCTTGAATATTTCCCTAAAGAAATTCTTGTCATCTGGATAGAAACAGAGTAAATAATTTATTCATTTCATGATCCCTGATGGTTTTTTTGGTTTTGTTTTCTACCTTTATGTTGAGCTTCATGCTGAGAACTTTAACCCTCTTACCCTCTGAACTAGTCGATTCAGACCCTGATGGCTCCTCCGAAAGAAAGGCACAACCGCTCCCCTAACTTCTGTGGGGCCTGAGTAATCTCTGTCATAAATAATGGCAGCTTTGTGTACTGAATTTTGTTCTCATGAACTACAACAATAAATAAGGTAGGATTAGCTCTTCTAGGAAGAGCAATGACCTGATCAGGTGTGACTTTGCAGAATTAGCAACACAGGCTGATGACACAAGGCAGCATGGTACAGTGGTTTGAAAGCACAGCCTCCAAAGCTGGAGTGCTTGGGTTTGAATCTTGCTCTGCCATTTATAAGCTGTGTAACCTTGGACAAGTCACTTATCTTCTTTGTTCCCATTTTCTCTCTTTTTTTTTTTAAGCTGAGCCACCCTGCCGGGAATCGAACCGCTGTTGCTCAGAGCTCACACTCTTGAACGAGCCACTCGGCCGGCCCCCGCTGGCCCCCTATTTTCTCTTCTTTAAGAGGGAGAAATAATAGTAACAAGCTCATTGTTAGGATAATTAAAAAAGATAATGTTGGGCTGGCCGAGTGGCGCGATGGTTAAGAGCTGGCTTGGGACGCCAGAGGGCCCCGGTTCGGATCCAACATATGAGGGCCAGTGACACTGCCCTCTACAGCTAAGATGCTGAACAACAGCTCAACCTGGAGCTGGGCTGCCGTGAGTCGCCGGCGACAGCGTAGGCTGCAGCCCCTGTGGCAGTGGGTTGCCATGGGCTACCGTGTGTAGCCAGCAGCCAGCGTGAGCGGCCAGCAGCCGCAGTGAGCAGCCGTCCAGAAGCCGGCGACTGATCTGCCTCACCTGGGAAGAGCACAATGATGGTGCCAACTTGGGCCAGTGAAGCAACATCCTCCACAACTAGACTGAAGAACAAAAAGCAACAGCAACTTGTCTGTTCCCCTCCCCCAATTCCCCAATAAAATCTTAAAAAAAAAAGATAACGTTTGTAAAACATTTAAAACAATGCCTGGCATAGTAAATCTTATGTAAGTTATTTGATAAAGATGCAGATACATACGTGGGAATGATCTCTCATCAGATCCTAGTACATTGTCCACTTTTTTCTTTCATATTCGTAAACTACCCCTAGAAAAATGAGCTATTTAATTGGTTCCAAAAGGCCGGCCTTATGAATAAAAAAATAAATACATCATTCCTATTTATAGCAAGTCAGTCTTTGCTTTGCACAGTTTTCATATGCATACATTTCAGTAACCAGGCTTTAGTTAACACCAGTCAGTCCTCCAACAACACCGATCCAATTTGAGATTCCCGGCATGTGAACTCAATAAGTGCATAGAGTGCAAACTTCCTGCTAGGTCTTCAGTCCACAATCACTATGTCAGTAGCAGATGACTGTCGTGAATCATGTTCCTTCTTTTAAAATTTGTTGGTGGTCAGTCACTGCATATCTATTATTCAGTCCACATACAGACAGCAAAGCGTGTCGCTGTGTTGTTTCCCTGTCTCCCACTGATAGTCCCACATGACATTGGACACAAATGGACAATCCACAGAGCCAACTGGCCAACAAAGGTCAAAGTGCACTGAAGGGACAAGTGACAGCAAACTGAATGGAGCATTAGAAGAAAGAGCTGACCGTGGAATGTTGACAGTGGCCCATTTGAGAGACTGTAGGTATGCAGCCAGAGGAACTTAGTGAAGTTGAGCTTATTTACATCAATTGGGAAAGTGGTTGTGGTAAAAAGGATAAAGCTGTCCTAGAGAAAGTGACTTCTTCACGTTATAAGGACTCTCAGAGATATTTCGCAATACTGAAAGCAGGAAGGCTTAAAATGTTTGGAGCTGATCAAAACTTAGAAAGCACTATGACAATTCCTTGAAGCAGGAAAGATGCTCTTTTTGTATCATACTTTATACAGTGACAAAGAGAAGGCAAGCAGTGTTCAAACTACTCTTGATGGAAGTCCAAAGGGATTGAATTCTCAATGGTTCTAATATTTTAAATTACAAGGTACTAAGTAAATATAATTTTTACTCTTTTTTACATTTCCCTAGACACTGATAAACTATGGCAAGAGAGTTTTTAAAGTTTTGACAGACATTTTTAAAGGTCATAGGACAATTGTAATTTTCCCCATCAATTACTAAGATCACTTGGTGTGCTGTCAGCTTGCTTCGTCATTTGTATGGCCTTGCACTGGCATGCAAAGTGAGGACTACCTGTACCATTCTGGAGTCAGTGCTAATCCAATGAGAGGGGTGGGAAAAATCATCAAGCAAAATTATTATGCTGGTTGGGCAAGAACCTTGAAAACAATAAAGGTTTTATTCAAGCATGGTAAATTATTTTGTCATTGGGATTTTTTTGACCCAATGTTTCATCACCATTAAATAGCATCACAGAATTTTCTTTATTTGGATAACTCAGAAACAAGGATTCTCTAACTAGATCAATACACCTGAAGTCTGTGTTTTCATTTTGTGTCCCTGTGTTTTTCATGGGGAAGGAGTGAAAGGAGTCTTTCCTTTTTTCTTCAGCTTTTCAAGAGAGCATGTCATTGAACATAAATGATATGCTCAATGTAGAACTTGAATTGTGTAAGAGCCCACACTTAAAGGGCACTGAATGTCTGTGTTCATCTGAAATAACAGAGAGAATTATCGTCATTTTATCCAACTCGAGAAAGAACTCAAAATTGAAGGTTTTGTAAGTAGGCATCAATATCATTTTGACATTTATAGACTTCTAATATTTTTAGATTGAAAATAGTCCTAAATGACTTGTTCATCTGTTTGCCATCCATTCCTAATATTTAATTATAATAAAATCTAATTGAAAACTTGTAGTTCAGAATTGCTGCACATTTTAAGAATTTCTTATATGCCAGTATTCTTAAGAATATTCCTTCTTGATTCAGGATCATGTAATATGAATTCTGCCCTTATCAAATTGAGCCCCAACCAAAGAGAGACTTGGTCTACATTTCTTAGAATGTACCCTCCCCCCTAAGAGAGAGACAGTTCTAGAGTCATAAAAATATCTTCATGATTATCACACTTCAAGCTGTAAATGGTCAAAGAAAAATTTAAAAGAATCAGAAAATTTCAACAGTATGTGGCTTCCCAGCTCTGATTATTGATTCCCGTTGCCTCACATTCTCTTTTCTTGAATCTTTGCCTTGGGAAGTTTCTCAACATTAGTTCCAGTCGCTTTGGTTTCATGCTACTTGGTTTCTTAAAAGTCAGCTAAAAATTGCCAGAATATCCT